CTGTTTGTATATTTTTCAGACGAGTTGCACTTCAGGAAACGTTAGCCGATCTAGCTACTGTTGTCTCCTGCTGCAACTATTTCTGAGAACAGCTCCCAAACATTAGATTTAGCAGCCTAACCTTATTTTTCTTTTCAATTTAATCAGGTAAATTCCCGACCTCAATTTCTCCCGCACCTCGTCTTCCATCTTCACTTTTATTTCTCCGTTGTTGTTGTTGTTGTTGTCGTGGCTGGCGGCGGGAGCTGCGGAGCTGCTTGGCGCGCCGCTTTCTTGGCGCGTAGCAACTTAACTTGCGTGAGGTCCATGAACCTTTGGCATCACGTGACACGTCACGTGTCACGTGATGCCAAAGGTTCATGGACCTCACGCAAGTTAAGTTGCTACGGCATTCGTATTATCAAATAACCTAATAAAATACGAAAATAGATATTCCCAAATATTTAATATAGGCTGGAAATTGCAAGCAACATACATGGATTAAAAAACAAACAGTAATAATGACCCGCCCCAACCCGCCCCGCAAATAAAGTGACAATTTCTTTACCCGCCCCAACCCGACTCGCGGGTTACCCCGGGGTCCGCGGGTTACGAGTCGCCCGCGCATCACTAGTGTACAAATACCTCTGCCAATTATCTGACTTATCCTCGTAAACTAAGAATTAATTATCTTTATATACATGGGACGGGTAGGTCCACGGAGGCTTCCATGTAGTTCCGCCATCTTGAAAAACTATAATAGCAGAGAGGGACAAAAAGTACTAGGCCAACGCGTTTCCACAACGCGTTTCCGTTCAGAGCCAGCGTCACGTAACTGAACGCAGCAGAAACGGAGGAGCAGAGCAGTGAGAGGCGCTTGTCACTGCCCCGGCAAGTTTCAGTCAGTAATTCATACTGTAACATTCGTTTGCTCGTTGTGTCAAGTTGCAGTTTGTTTGAAATAACAGACCTGTTCACCCGAAGGAAAACTCGACGAAGTGTTATTAGAAGACATCCTGTCATAGCTTTTTGGTACATAACGGCTACCGTAGATACAACACGCATTTGAAAAAGCTAGGCGCTGGAGAGCACAATTCGTTTGACTGCAAAATACAATTTCACTACTAGATGGGAGAAATTCCTACACATTGTCCCTTTAAATATACAGTATAATGAATATATATATACTCACCGGCCACTTTATTAGGTACCCCATGCTAGTAACGGGTTGGAGCCCCTTTTGCCTTCAGAACTGCCTCAATTCTTCGTGGCATAGATTCAACAAGGTGCTGGAAGCATTCCTCAGGGAGTTTGGTCCATATTGACATGATGGCATCACACAGTTGCCGCAGATTTGTCGGCTGCACATCCATGATGCGAATCTCCCGTTCCACCACATCCCAAAGATGCTCTATTGGGTTGAGATCTGGTGACTGTGGAGGCCATTTTAGTACAGTGAACTCATTGTCATGTTCAAGAAACCAATTTGAAATGATTAGAGCTTTGTGACATGGTGGAAGTAGCCATCAGAGGATGGGTACATGGTGGCCATAAAGGGATGGACATGGTCAGAAACAATGCTCAGGTAGGCCGTGGCATTTAAACGATGCCCAATTGGCACTAAGGGGCCTAAAGTGTGCCAGGAAAACATCCCCCACACCATTACACCACCACCACCAGCCTGCACAGTGGTAACAAGGCATGATGGTTCCATGTTCTCATTCTGTTTACGCCAAATTCTGACTCTAACATCTGAATGTCTCAACAGAAATCGAGACTCATCAGACCAGGCAACATTTTTCCAGTCTTCAACTGTTCAATTTTGGTGAGCTCTTGCAAATTGTAGCCTCTTTTTCCTATTTGTAGTGGAGATGAGTGGTACCCGGTGGAGTCTTCTGCTGTTGTAGCCCATCCGCCTCAAGGTTGTGCGTGTTGTGGCTTCACAAATGCTTTGCTGCATACCTCGGTTGTAACGAGTGGTTATTTCAGTCACTGTTGCCCTTCTATCAGCTCGAACCAGTCTGGCCATTCTCCTCTGACCTCTGGCATCAACAAGGCATTTCCGCCCACAGAACTGCCACTCACTGGATGTTTTTTCTTTTTCGGACCATTCTCTGTAAACCCTAGAGATGGTTGTGCGTGAAAATCCCAGTAGATTAGCAGTTTCTGAAATACTCAGACCAGCCCTTCTGGCACCAACAATCATGCCACGTTCAAAGTCACTCAAATCACCTTTCTTCCCCATACTGATGCTCGGTTTGAACTGCAGGAGATTGTCTTGACCATGTCTACATGCCTAAATGCACTGAGTTGCCGCCATGTGATTGGCTGCTTAGAAATTAAGTGTTAACGAGCAGTTGGACAGGTGTACCTAATAAAGTGGCCGGTGAGTGTGTATATATATATATATATATATATATTCATTATACTGTATATTAAAATAACTGAGTATATGATTACAATTAATTACTTTGAATGTCAAAAATGTGTTCTCAGAAACTAAGATCAAGGAAACAAAGAAGGTAATGTGGCAAGTTTGTTTGTGGACAGATTATTTAGTAACAGTCAGTTACATCATCATTTGCCTCTCAAGTATTCAGACTGGTTCTGAGAGAGGTGCAAAAGGTGTACAAATAGTGTTTTGGTTCTTCTGTTCTTTGAGATCCATTCGTGGTTATATTTAGTTAAAGTTGAAAGGGACTGCCATAAGGGAAGATTTTAAAGTTTACAGACAAAAGTTCCCCTCCATCAGTGAGTATTTGAGCTCTCGTACATGACAGGATGAATTACTTCCCCAAACATGTTCCTCAAATTACAACGGATCTCAGTGAATAGATTCGTGCACTTTCCAGTGTCTTTTTCAGAGTGTTTTTAGGCCTGGTGTTGTTGAAGTGAAGGAAGCGTGGCTGCTCTCTGTGATGACTGGGCCACTCACTCACTCGCTCTGGATGTGGGGCTGCCCGGGGCCTCTCCGCCCACCCTCAAGGGCCTGTCAGAGCAGCCTTACCAAAGGCAGATTAATCTACATTACTGCTAACAGCTCAGCCTGGCCCCTGATCCACTCACACACACACACTGTATTTAATCTCTTGCACTTCAGTCAAAAATCTACAGCTGAGGTTTTGGTCAGAAAATTAAGGTTAGTAGAAATTGATTTATGAGTCCGTGAATTTTCTAGAGGTTGTGTGTTAAAATACACAGTAAATGACGATCCTGCCTAAACCCTTTTTACCAGGGTAGAATCATTGTGCAGAACAGCTTCAATTGGCTTATTGATTTTATAAATTCATGGTTACAATATGTCAAAAGACAGTAATGTTCATCAGTTTATATACAAAGTTTGTAGTCTGTTAGACTTTTTTAATGTTTTTTGAAGAAGTATTTAATGCTCACCAAGGCTGCATTTGTTTGATCAAAATAACTTTTTATATTTTAAAATGTAGTTTATTCCTGTGATGGCAAAGCTTGATTTTTAGCATCATGGGTTAGGCCGTTAGGGGATAGAATATACAGTTTGTACAGTATAAAAAAACATTATGTCTATGGAAATTCCCCACGAAGATACCAAAACCTAACGTGTGTTTGTGTGTGTAGCCAGTGTAAATAATGAATGTTACTTAAAGAGACATGTGGGAGATCTGGCCTTGCTAAACATGCTCTGATTAATGTCCTCCGTCAAGCATGCACTCCCAATTATGAATTATGCCAGCCCAGCATCCAATCAGAGCTCACCTTTCATCAGTGCTGTGAAAAAAGCCTCTGATGGTTTATCGTAACAAAATAAACATATCGGAGCATAAACACAAATGAATACTAGTCAGTTTTGTGCAGCAGCATTGAGGTGTGTATTGTAATGCTATTTTGCTTTCTTTACTGTACATCTCTGTATCTGTGAGAGGTGTGTGTGTGTGTGTGTGTGTTTGGATGGGGAAGAGTGCTGCTCTGCTGCAGTGGTGATGAATGGGTGTGTGTGAGTTATTCATCTCCTGCTTATAGGAGTGGACAGTGGTCCTGCTCTCTCCACATGTCAGCACATGGGATAATTCTGTCATTTATCAGGAATGACACTGGAGACAAAAACTCACCCCGAGAGATCATCCCAGGGTCTCAACTCCTGCTCTCACCCTCACTGTACTCATCCACACGCCCACTTTGTCACTTTTCAAACAGTTTGTTTTTCTTAGTTCTGAGCAGACAGACATTTTTCTGCATTTTCTGTTTTGGGGGAAAATTCTGCTGTATGATATGGATGGTAAAGTGCATAAAATGAAGAAATGTTTCTTGAGCAGCAGATCAGCATATTAGAATGATTTCTGAAGGATCATGTGACACTGAAGACTTGAGAAATGATGCTGAAAATTCAGCTTTGGCATCACAGGACTAAAGTACATTTTAAAGTATATCAAAATAGAAAACAGCTATTTTAAACTGTAATAATATTTCATAATATTAATGTTTTTACGGTATGTTTGTTGTTGTTACTCTTTTTCTCTTATTGTGAATTATACTTGAAATCACAATTAAATTGGCCATAATATGTTTAATAAATAAATCTGCAACTGATTTGTAGAACTTTGTGAATTACTGAGTGAATCTATGGAGTCTTTCCTTTTTTGTTTGGTCATGTGATAATAGGAAAGTGAGTTTTATGGAGAATTCCTTCAGTAAATATGTGCATTTTATTAGCTGGAGGAATGCCACAAGCTACACTTTTTACTTTTTAGAGAGAAATAAATGCTCTAAGCGTGTCTGCTGACAGATGGTGAGGAAAAAGGCAAAGTTGTCATGCCGTGACATGTTTTGCACAATAGTATGTGTTTGTGTTTTTAGACCGATCTGATGGAGTTCAGTCAGAAAAAAATTTATTCATTTTTGATGCGAGGCATGTACTCGATCACATGCATGTTATTTTGTGTGAAGATGTTAAATCGTAGTTTTTACTACCGTCTCAATTAATGTCCTTAACATAAAATCTCTTTTCTCTTCTCTTTCTCTCCATCTCTCCCTCTCCTCACCCACAGGATCATTCAGAATCGTGTCCTGGTCTTCATCCTGGGCGCCATCATCCTCCTCACCATCGTCTTGGCCATCTATTTCAATTTGCGAGGGCACTGATCTCCACTGACTGGCCCTATGCGTGCATGTGTGAGTGTGTACGAGCGTGTGTGTAAGATTAATAGTGACAAAAGTGTTGGGCTGGAGTAATTAGGACAAATTGTTCACATGAATCATTCCTGGTGGGCAGTGACAGGGGGCCTCTCCTCGCTGCTCTCGAGCGGAGCGGGACCGTGTCTACCCTCTCTCTCCTTATATTTATGCTGCGTCCATTACTTTTAAAACTTACCGACCCAGAGAGAAACCCGGCACGGATGTGTGGACACAAGGACCATGATGAGAACATCAGATGGATGAAGAACAGGAAGACGAACATCAACCTATGTCATAACCTGCTGTTTAATGTTTAGTTTTGAGGGGGGGTTGTAGGCGGGAAAAGGGCATGAGAGCCAAAAGGTACTGGAAAATCCTATCCATCAGGTATATGTGTGTGTGTGTGTGTGTGTGTGTGTGTGTGTGTGTGTGTGTGTGTGAGAGAGCCGTACACAAGGCAAGGCCCCCGGAGCAGTACCATTTAGCACACGGTGCAGAATCACACACTACACACAGCCCAAAGGTCACACGCCCGTCTCTCAGTCCCCCTTCATCCAGGATTAGTAGCTTCTCACGCTGTTCCTCTAAGGTCAGCAAAGACCTCGCATGTGTTTAGTTAAACCAGCAGGACTGCTTTGAACAAGAAAATATCCATGTCCACTCTTACCTTTACTAATCAAATCTGACAGCATGATAGTAACTGTAGTCAGTCGTACTAATAAGAAATGTATTTCCTGTATTTATTTGTCATTTCAGATGAATTGTACTGTATTTTTCGCTGTATCTTTCTTTCAATTTATCTGGAATTTGTTTTAGCCATTAATGTTTGACATTAAAATCACATAATTTGTCTCTACTGTGCAATGTTGCAAATGTGCTTCATTATTCCTATAGGAAGACCAACTAGCAAGCATCAGTATGGAAATATGCGAAATTTGGGAGTCTGCTCCAGGCTTTCACCTGCTGTTTGCATATTAGGTTAGAAGAAAGAAGGTAAAGATGACTATGTGCTAATAGTTCATTTCAGTTAGTTTATCATTTATCTGAGGATTCCTTTGTGTACTTTTATATATTTATGTGTGTATCACCATACACTCCGGCTCAGTTCCAAAACGCAGTGAGTTCCCTTGATGTCTAATGCCTACATAGGCAGCTGACGTCCAAAGCAGCATCACTAGCTGAAAATTATACCTCATAAATGACTGATTTGGGACTCTTTACATAGTCAGCAACTTTGAACAGACTACAAAAAATATTTATTTGAATATTTATTTTTGCTGTCAAGCTAATGACAAACATATAGTCGAATACATGTTGCAAATGAGTCAAATAAACGATTTTAGTGAATCAATTATATTTATTATCAACATTATTCTGTTCATCGGTTTATTTAACAAAAGAGTAAGCTGTCAGGGTATTGCTATGCTAATAACAATGTGTTAAGCATAAAAACAAATAATCAATGTTAGTGATTGTTAGTTGAATGTATTTGTAATCAACATTTCGCTTTGCCGTCTACGATCAATTATTTTGAAAACAAGAGTTAGCTGTTAGCTTGTTTCTAAGCTAATGACAATATGTTAAACAAACAAATAATGGTTCAATTCAATGATGCAGTCAAGCAACATCAAGTCCCATCCTACGTCTTGTTCAAGAAGCCATTTCACTTGCATAAACATCACATTAGGGAAGAAAAGTCTATAAAGAGTTAGCTGTTAGCATGTTGTTAAGCTAATGGCATAATGTGTTAAACAAAATCAAATAATCAATTTTATATATATTGTATATATTTTTATATTATGTTTATTAATATTTAATTTTGTTTGTCCTTTTTGAATATATATTTTTTTAAAGTTTGCTATTAGCATGTTGCTAAGCTAATTACAATGCGAAGCATAAATAATCAATGTTTGTGAAGCGATTATATTCTTAATCAACATTAATAATATTAATGAATTTGTTCAATTTATATAGCGCTTTTCTGGGTAGTCAAAGCGCTTTACATGGAAGGCGGTAATCTCCTCAACCACCACCAATGTGCGGCATGCCGGCATCCACCTGGATGATGCGACGGCAGCCACATTGCGCCAGAATGCCCACCGCACACCAGCTTACTGGTGGAGAGGAGACAGTGATGAAGCCAATCAGTATATGGCAAAATCATTAGCCAAAATGTCTGTGCCGATGCCGATAGCCTCGTGGGCAAGTGCATGTAGCGCTGTTGTGCTTCGGGCGACCCGGGTTCGAGTCCCGGTTCGTGGACCTTTCCCGATCCCGTCCCCCCCTCTCTCTCTCTCTCTCTCCCACCTCACTTCCTATCTAGCTACTGTCCTATCCTAATAAAAGGCAAAAATGTCAAAAAATAAACCTTAAAAAAAAAAAAATTAGGCAAAATGAGGTACAGCTGTTTTTGGTGTTGAATCAGCTATATAATGGACGTTTTTCTTTGTTCTGTTGAATCAGCTATATAATGAACATTTTTCTTAGTTGTATCTTATTTTTATTTTCTTTATTTTTATTTTATTTTTCAGAGTTGTCACATTGCATTCTGCAAATTCTTTTTGCCCCACTAAGGATGCTGCCTTAAAATTTGGCCAAAGAAGGTGTCTTAAAAGGCAGCATATTATTAGGCCTTCACCTCTTGGCCCTCACACGGGGAGCGCTCCTGTGATGATGCCTAGGCGACTCACTAGGTTTTAACACACGTGCCACAGCTCTTCCTATCACCTCACGCTTACAGCCCTGCCACAGTGACGCATGCGCGCACACCTCGGCCAATCGAGGTGCCTGGGGGACAGACAGATGGAGCGTCAGACAGACAGGCAGACGGCATTTGATATTCTGTTTCAGGCCGTTGGATTGTCTTATTTTGGAAGCAGCCTGGTGGGGGGTTTTCTCTGCCTCTACTTCACAGCTATGGCTTCAAAGCGCCAAATTAATGGCCAACAAAATAGTGCGGCTCCGCGTGTCCCATGTGGGGCCAACCTATTGAGAGTTATCATTAAGTTGAGGAAGGAAGAGAAAGGATGAGGGGGAGCTGAATCCCGCCAGTTTAACAAACCTCATCAGATAATGACCTCTGTGATTGGGTTTTGCATCAAATGGCGAAGAGAAAGAGAGTGTGCGTTTAAGTACGATAGCGATGAGATTTGTTTGTCCTTGTTTTCCTCACATGCGTGTGCGGAGCCACTCGTTTGTTTCCCACACCTGCGAGTGTGTATGCGAGACATCAGTCGGCTGTGCATGTAATGACTTGGATGTGTGTTGGTGTCTTTTGCTGGCTCAGAATCTGTGTGTGCGTTATCTGTCTCTCGCTCTCGCTCTCGCTCTCGCTCTCGCTCTCGCTCTCGCTCTCGCTCTCGCTCTCTCTCTCTCTCTCTCTCTCTCTCTCTCTCTACTTGGGCCTGTCAGATCCTCTCAGCAGCGTGTGGCTGGTGGAAAAGCAGCGTGGCTGCGGCTCTATTTGAAGTTGTAATGGTGTCAAAAAGTCAGAGCTGACTGACAGCCGTCAGTCCCACTGGGGCTCATTAAATCATAACAACTTGACAAGGAAATAATTGAGCGCTGACGATAAGTTGGGGCCCATTTAGATGTTTTTATTTTCTTTCATTATTAGTTGTGGCTATTATGTTCATTAAGAAATTGCATTAAACAACCATCGGGGGGGCTAATGATTTGTTTATATCCCCTTTTTTATTATTTAAACATTAGGTGTGTCACGTGACGCCTTCGGCTGGCTGGCGGTATCATCTGCCGCATCTATTTTTTCCCTTCTTTTTTTTCTCTTCCTTTCTTTTCATCCTTTTTCACCCTATATGCCTCCCTGTCTCCTTCCCTCCTTTCTCTCTCTCTCTCTCTCTCTCTCTCTCTCTCTCTCTCTCTCTCTCTCTCTAAGCAGCGGGTGCCTTTGGAATATGAAATAGATTATTCATTACCCTGTTCTCTGTAGCTGATTTGGTTTGCGTGTAGTGTCTTCTATGTGAGGAGGATGAAAACTTGTCAAAAATGGGTTATATCTTATTCCAAGGGGCAACAATAGTGGCAGTTACAGACAGACTTTAATATTTCATTATGCCTGACGTTAACCCAGCTAAGTGACTTCAGCTAGCAGGCCTTTAGTGAGAAAGAGACTCTGATTAGCTCCTATCACAGAACAGGCTACGACGAAGAGGCAGGAAAGACCCACTGCGGTCATGGCAGAGATGGGCGCTTGCTCTTGATTTACAGAAATCTTGCTGGATAGATGCAGGATACACACACACACACACACACATATATATATATATATATATATATATGCATTAAGCATCATCGTGATTTATTTTGAGTAACCCTTTAAGCTCCGCCCACCTTGACTACGGTTGCTATTGCTAAGTCAGAGGAGCTTTATAAAACATTGCATGGGAAAGAATTGGGAGATTTATGTGAACAGTTAATTTTTGTTCTGTAAAATCTGCTCAAAGTGATAAAAAAACCCCCTTAAATTATACAGCATTGTGATTTTAAAAGGCTGTGAATCTGAATCAGAGTCAAAATAAAAGTTAATATAAAGTTCTTTGCAACAAAGGTTTATCATGTTTGAGTAATTTCTTTATTTTCTTAAATTCATCTAACTATCAAAGCACCCAGAACATCAATGGACTTGCATGAATAAGCTAGTCTAGTAATATGGTGAACGGCAACAATTGCTGAGTACGTTTTTTTCAGTAACAGTTTCAAGGTGGGCTAAGTGAAAGAGTTATTAAAATTTGAATTTTAGTGTCTTTAAATTGACACTAAAATTGATGTCACATTAGCAGATGCAGCCTGCAGAAATGATCACCAGTGTTTGCTGACTGCACTTTTTCTGAGGTCCACATTTAAACTGTACATCTCTCTCTATTTTTACTCGTTCACACATCCAGGCATAATATTTCACCCTATAGATCAGCCTTTCTCAAACTTTTTTCAGTCGGGGCACCTTTCAAAAGTGCATAAAATCTCAAGGCACCCCAGTGTAAAATATAAATTAAAAACACTGCATAACCCAAATGTAAATGCAAATGTCCTGTTTATTTAGACAGAACAGTAATGAACAGAGCATAATACGAACTGTAAATAACAATAACAATAATAATAACAACTTTACAGGGCTATCACTTTTGTGAAAAAATCCTGATCGATTTTTGAGACATAAACGTGTCTAAAGACGTTTCCATTTTCAGCGCCAAATATAGGCAAATCCACGGACAACTAACAGGCATTAGCACGAGCGAAAGAGTGCGCTTGAGACGCGCACAAGTCAGCAATATTTCTGATGATTTATTGGCATGAAGTTTCGTGCACAATGACAAACAGGAGTGCAAGATTCTCGAAAAACAATAAGCAGAGTGGACTGCCATAACATCAATGAAAAACATTACTGCAGGCTTCGACATGGCTGTGTTTACGATTAGAAATGTCAAACAAATTTCGCCTACGTAGGCGATTGTAGGCCGGATCTGTATCTGTATGCATGGGACTGTCTGAATACCGGCAGAATTCACATTTTTGTTGTAAAAAGAGACACGTTATGCAGAAGTATAGTATAGTTTGTATGTGTGTTTGTCAGAGCCTGCAGTTGCTGTGTGACGCGCGTTCGCGCGGTCGGTGTTGTTGCTATAACGCGGTGCTATGGGTTGCGTCACTTGCGTCAAGTTGTGTGTGTCTTGCTTCGGTCTTGTGAGACGGATTTTTATGGTTAATTTTATATATATATATTTATCTAAAATGAATTTACAATTTTATTAATACGTTCATATGTTTAAAAAGAAGAAGAATGTATTTATGTAAATTCAAATATATATATATATATATATATATATATATATATATATATATA